AGTTGCAGGTAGACAGGGCGGTGAAGAAGGTGTTTGGTACGCTTGCCTTTATTGGTCAGTGCATTGAGTATAGGAGTTGGGAGGGTCATGTTGCGGCTGCACAGGACATTGGTTAGGGCCACTTTTGGAATATTGCGTTCAATTCTGGTCTCCCTGCAATAGGAAGGATGTTGTGAAATTTGAAAGGGTTCAGAAAAGATTTACAAGGATGTTGCCAGGGTTGGAGGGTTTGAGCTACAGGGAGAGGCTGAATAGGTTGGGGCTATTTTCCCTGGAACGTCGGAGGCTGAGGGGGTGACCTTATAGAGGTTTATAAAATCATGAGGGACATGGATAAGGTGAATAGACAACGTCATTTTCCCCAGGGTAGGGGAGTCCAAAACTAGAGGGGCATGAGTTTAAGGTGAGAGGGGGAAGATTTAACAGGGACCTGAGGGGCAACTTTTTCACACAGAGGGTGGTGCGTGTATGGAACGAGCTGCCAGAGGAAGTGGTGGAGGCTGGTACAATGACAACATTTAAAAGGCATCTGGATGGGTACATGATTAGGAAGGATTTAGAGGGATATGGGCCAAATGCTGGCAAATGGGACTGGATTAATCTAGGATATCTGGTCGGCATGGATGAGGTGGGCCGAAGGGTCTGTCTCCATGCAGTACAGCTCTATAGCATCCTGGTGGGAAGCCGCAGTCAAGGGGAGAGAGGGTGGGGAGAAAAGCAGGCAGGTCCTGGGGAGTAATCGCCGCCCCCCTCCAGCAGGGGTTGATGGGAAGGAAAGTGGGACGCCACATTCTGGGAGAGACAAAGCGGTTTGGAAGTACACTAGCACCACCTAGCCAGCTGGAGCTGGAACTGCAGCCAAAATAAAGACCTGCCTCAGAAACACAAGGTCGAAGATCCAGTTTAACGTCAAAAATAAAATCACTGTCCCTTTCAAGGTGATGGGGCGGGCGCTTTAGAGAAATCTGGAACTCACTGCCTGTAAGGGTGGGAGAGGCAGAAACCCCCA